GGTCACCTTATCTTTGATAAAGGAGGCAGGAATGTACAGTGGCAAAAGGACAGCCTCTTCAATAAGTGGTGCTGGGAAAACTGGACAGGTACATGTAAAAGTATGAGATTAGAACATTCCCTAACACCATACACAAAAATAAGCTCAAAATGGATTAAAGACCTAAATGTAAGGCCAGAAACTATCAAACTCTTAGAGGAAAACATAGGCAGAACACTCTATGACATAAATCACAGCAAGATCCTTTTTGATCCACCTCCTAGAGAAATGCAAATAAAAACAAAAATAAACAAATGGGACCTAATGAAACTTCAAAGCTTTTGCACAGCAAAGGAAACCATAAACAAGACCAAAAGACAACCCTCAGAATGGGAGAAAATATTGGCAAATGAAGCAACTGACAAAGGATTAATCTCCAAAATTTAAAAGCAGTTCATGCAGCTCAATAACAAAAAAACAAACAACCCAATCCAAAAATGGGCAGAAGACCTAAACAGACATTTCTCCAAAGAAGATATACAGGCTGCCAACAAACACATGAAGAAATGCTCAACATCATTAATCATTAGAGAAATGCAAATCAAAACTACAATGAGATATCATCTCACATCAGTCAGAATGGCCATCATCAAAAAATCTAGAAACAATAAATGCTGGACAGGGTGTGGAGAAAAGGGAACACTCTTGCACTGCTGGTGGGAATGTGAATTGGTACAGCCACTATGGAGAACAGTATGGAGGTTCCTTAAAAAACTACAAATAGAACTACCATATGACCCAGCAATCCCACTACTGGGCATATACCCTGAGAAAACCATAATTCAAAAAGAGTCATGTACCAAAATGTTCATTGCAGCTCTATTTACAATAGCCAGAAGATGGAAACAACCTAAGCGTCCATCATCGGATGAATGGATAAAGAAGATGTGGCACATATATACAATGGAATATTACTCAGCCATAAAAAAAAATGAAATTAAGCTATTTGTAATGAAGTGGATGGACCTAGAGTGTGTCATACAGAGTGAAGTAAGTCAGAAAGAGAAAGACAAATACCGTATACTAACACATATATATGGAATCTAAGAAAAAAAATGTCATAAAGAACCTAGCGGTAAGACAGGAATAAAGACACAGACCTACTAGAGAATGGATTTGAGGATATGGGGAGGGGGAAGGGTAAGCTGTGACAAAGTGAGAGAGTGGCATGGACATATATACACTACCAAACGTAAAATAGCTAGCTAGTGGGAAGCAGCCGCATAGCACAGGGAGATCAGCTCAGTGCTTTGTGACCACCTAGTGGGGTGAGATAGGGAGGGTGGGAGGGAGGGAGGCGCAAGAGGGAAGAGATATGGGAGCATATGTATATGTATAACTGATTCACTTTGTTATAAAGCAGCAACTAACACACCATTGTAAAGCAATTATACTCCAATAAAGATGTAAAAAAAAGTGGCTTTCTTCTATTTGAGGCTTTCCTCGCCTAAAATAAATAAATAAATAAATAAATTACCATACAATCAGGAATTCTACTCCTAGGTAATCTATTCAAAATATACGAAGAAGTATGTCCATACAAAGACTTGTATACAAATGTTCCTAGCAGCATTATTCCTAATCATGGAAATAATCCAAATGTTCATCAGCTGGCTAATGGAGAAACAAAATATGACATATATTCATATGACGGAATATTAATTACTCAGCAATTAAAGGAATAAAGTACTGACAAATGCTAGGACACGAATGGAGCTCAAACACATATGATAAGTGAAATAAATACAAGCTAGATGTATACTGTATGATTCTCCACCCCCTCCACCCCCAACAGCACGGCTTGCGGGATCTTAGTTCCCTGACCAGGGACTGAACCCGGACTACAGCAGTGAAAGCACCGAGTCCTAACCACTGGACCACTAGGGAACTCCCTGTAAGATTCCATTTATATGAAATGTCCAGAAAAGGCAAATCTTTTAAGACAGAAAGCAAATTAGTGGCTGCCTCGGGGTGAGGTGGAAATAGGAAATGAATGCAGACAGGCACAAGACATTTTTCTGGTGAAAGAAATTTTCTAAAACTGAATTGCGGTGATGGCTGAAAAAACCTGTATGTGTACTAAAACCCATTTTATTACACACTTTAACAAAGTGAGTTCTATGGTATATAATTAGACCTTAACAGAGCTCTTTTAAAAGTAAAAGATTATAATGACCTTATAAATTGATGAGTATTCCCTCTTTTTTATACTTTGAAATAAAGTATGATTAGGAACATAATTATTTACTCCTTGAATGTCTGGTACAACTTGCTAGTGAAAAATAGTCAGGAACTTGTGTTTTCCTTGTAGGAAAATTAAAAGTTGATTTCTTTAACAAATGTAAGACTATTTTAGTGTTTCTGAATCTGTTTAACCTAAAGCTTTCAAATGTACTGGCAAACACAGAAAAAAAAAAAAAAAGAAGAAGCAAGAAGGGAGACAGAGACTATGGAAGGAGATGAAAATTTCAAAAAACTATCAATATCCAGGGAAACTTAAGAAATTTCTGTATCTATGAGACAAGAACAGGATGCCATTTAAAATAAAAATTCAGAGAAAAGAAAAGAACATTTAGAAATTAAAACTATGAAAGCAGAATTTAAAAATTCAACAGAAAGGTTGAAAGCTTTGAGTTTAGGAAATCTCCTAGTACGGCAAAATGATAGAGATGCAAAATACTTAAGAAAAATTAAGAAAATTAAAGGATGAGTCCAAAAGGTCCAACATTCAAATAATAAGAGTTCCAGAAAACAAAGAGAAGGAAATTATCAAAAAATAATTCAAGAAAATTTCTCAAAACGGAAGGATTTGAGTTTCTAGATGGAAAGAACCCACGACGTAGTCAGGACACTAGTTGAAGAAAACAAGCCTAAATGACACAGAACCTTAGGATAAAGATCCAAAAAGTTTCAAGACAAAAAGTACAAATTAAATACAAAAGGTTAATAACTGAGTAACTTTGAATTTCTCAGGAAAACCAATGGAGAGACTTCCCTGGTGGTCCAGTGGCTAAGACTCCACACTCCCAATGCAGCAGGCCCAGGTTCAATCTCTGGTCAGGGAACTAGATCCCACGTGCCACAACTAAAGATCCCGTATGCCAAAACTAAGACCCAGCGCAGCCAAGTAAATAAATAAATAAATATTTTTAAAAAAAGAAAAGAAAGAAAAAGAAGAAAGAAAACCAATGGAGACAAAAAGAAATTCTGAGGGAAAATAATCCTCACCTCATATCTGGCTAAATGTCAAATAAATTTGAGGGTAGACCAAAGACTTTCCAGACATGCAAAGACTGAAAGAATGTACCTCAAGCACTTTCTACAGAAAAAGCAGTCCATAAACAAAGGAATACACCAAGAAAAAGCCACGAGATCAATTTCTGGTTAAAAATGAAAGACTGAACACATGCATCTATTTTTACATCCTCCAGAACGACAAAACATTATAAAAAGGAGATTTTAAAAAATTCACAATGATATGACTCAAAACAAAAGCAACTAATCAGGACAGAGTTTTGGTGAGGGGGCATGAAAATGTTCTGATATTGGATAGTGGTGATGGTTGTCAAGTTCCAGGAATACAATAAAAACCACTGAACTGACTGGGAAAGGGCACCTAGCTCCATATTCCACCTGACTTCTTCAACTCCCTCTACTCTCTTTCTACAAATGGACCTGCTGTCTCTACTAGAACACATAATTAAAAAGCATATTCAATATCTCCCTCCTACAAAGTAACCTGTTTAATCTCCCCAAAATGCTTATCCAGTCCTTTTTCACATTACGCTCAGATCAAGCTCCCTATAGCTTCCCCACTATCCCAGTCGTACTTGTTGGGACCCAAAGGATAAATTTAATGCTTCTTTCATGTGATAGACTTTATTCAAAGAGTTAAAGGATGCTACCAAATCCCCTACTTCAAGCTAAATATTCCTCATTCCTTTAACTGTTTCTCACATGGCTCAAGTATTACCATAGTCCTGTTTATTCTTATATGCTCCTCTGTATCTCATTTAGAATGTGGTCCCTAAATCTAAACACAATACATGCACTATCATATGACAGGTAATACATTTTTGGAGAATACATGAATAAACGGAAAAGAATGAACACTTTAACCATATCCCTTTCCAATATTCCATTTCTATTACTGCAGTTTGTGATTTAAAAGCATTTTTTTGGCATCCATAGCCCATTGACTACTCATACAGCTCCTCTTGCTAAGAAAAATTTCTACCACCTTTTAAAAAAATTAATTAATTATTTACTTATTGACTGGTTGATTGACTGATTGATTGCTGCGCCGGGTCTTAGTTGTGGCATGCCGGCTCTTAGTTGCAGCATGCATGCGGGCTCTTGTTCCCCAACCAGGGATCGAACCTGGGCACCATGCATTGGAAGCATGGAGTCTTACCCACTGGACCACCAGGGAAGCCCCTCTACCACCTTTTAACATGTTTTTCTTTAGGCTTTTTTTTTTTTTTGTAGCCTTTAGGCTTTTATCACTGTAATTTTGTATTGAACAAAACTGCACACATGAAGAATATAAAATCTAAGCTAGACAAATGCTTTGGGCCTTAGTTTTTACATCTGGAGAATGTAAACAACCTGTGCTATCTAGATCATGAGGTAGTGAAAAGCATGAATTAAAGCAATTTATTTGGAAGTACAATGAAAACTATAAAATATGAAAGCTTAAGTTTCTATTAGGACTCCACTTCTAATTTTACCAATGATGGTTTTAGATGGCTTAGGAAAGCCTGCACAAATACCTCCTGAACAAGTTTAATGAAGAATCCAAAACATAAATATCTACTTCAATTCCCTATGTCCTCAATCCACTGTATCACCACACAACAGAAATGTGTGTGAGAATTTCAGAAACCATACAAATATTTCATGCTCATGGCAGTTACAAGGTTTACTTTATAGTTCAAAACACTAAGAAATTTAATAAATACCTGTGGTTCAAAACCCATGTCAAACATTCTGTCTGCTTCATCTAAAACAACATAAGTCACTCTTCGAAGATTTGTAACCCGACCTAACATGAGGAAAAAAAATAAAGACAAAAAGAAAACTAAAAATCAGTCACAATTCATTTTATGACTACCAAAATCTTTAAAAAACTGTAAAGGGAACTAAAATGCCTGACTTAACCAGAGGGGTGAGTTAGGTATCTTTAAACAGTGAAAAGAAATTTTGGTTTACAATATCTTATCTACTGGCAAATACTTTCTGACAATGGGTATATGAGGCCCTTTATTTTGTCAAACTCGTCTCTTGCATACCATCATAGGGCCTGAAGAACCTGTAAAATTCAGAAAACAGCCCTCTCCAAAACACATCATAAAACTAAGACTGAGATGGAGCATCGAGCCACATCAGCCATTATCTGACAGCATCACCTAGGAAAAAACATATTAGAGATTACAGCGTATGTGTGGAAAGCAAGTTCCAGTGCTAACTACTTCAGACGCAGAAAATCTCTCTTTACAATACTTTATGTAGTACATAACCTACTTATATACAGTTAGAAGCTTCTAATGGGCATGTCAAAACATAAATAAGAAGCTATTCAATATCACTAGGTAACTAACATACTACACAAAAATTTTAAAAACCAATGTATTACATAGATACATTTTTCTATACAAAGATATAAATCCTATTTTACACAGTGCTCCCACTGGTTTAAATAAATGCAACTGGCTTCTTAGCCAGAAAAAACTAAATACATAGACAGGAAACCCTTTCTAAAGGATTAACACAAGCATTTCTATCAATTGTTGATTCAATCACCTGGCAAAAACATGTATAAAACAGTTATTAAATATAAACCAAAAGGACAGATAAAGGGAAAAGATAAAATTAATCAAGATGAATTTCAGGAGGAGACAATCAATGCAGCATTGAGAAAAAACAAGGAATTATTTCATTAGCATTCAATCCAAAACTTTTCATATGCTATACAAGCACAATGACTTATCAATACCAATGTCACTTTACCAACTTCATGTAGAATTAGAATTAAGAGTACACAGAAATCCAAGCAAAATGCTATTAGAAACATGCATTACTCAAAGTTTTAAATACTCTACGATATATATATACTGAATACTACAATGGAAACGTTTGAAAGCATTTTCTTCAAAAAAGAGAAATGTGCCAAAATAAATGCTTTCTAATATTTAAGTATTCCATACTAACATGTGCAGCCCCAATTAGTTTTGCAAGATTGGGAACAGCATTAAATTACCTACCTTTGATGGTTTAAGTCTCGGAAGCCCAGTTCTATAAATCTTGAAGGGCCTTTCTCCACAGAAGTTAAATAATGTCAACAGTTTAGTAACAGTTTTGATAGGGAATAATTTAACAAAGCACAATATCTGAGCTAAAAACATGCAAATTTACAAAAGGTAAATTTTCTTGAAGCTGCAAGATCTTAACTTATCTAGTATTGTAAGAAAGTACTAGCTCCTATGGAGAAAATGTCTAAATTGTACAATTAAAAAGAAATAGTCCCCCACCCTTTTAGAAGCAAAGCTAGGCCAAAATTGAATTAAGAATCCATGTTAAGTGCTTAAAAAAAAAAAAAAAATCAGATGGAGTAGTTGTGAAAAAAAATTTTTTTAATTAAATTGCAAAAATATTATGAATACTTGCAACAAAAGCTTGTTACAATACAAATTTCAAGATATTACAGCTTCAAGAAGAAATGTAGAAACCTTTGGTGGTTTCTTGTTTCTGCTTTAACAAAAATGTACAGAATTCAAAAAGGAGAAAAGAGAACAAAAAACGAACAACAACAACAACAAAACCCCAACACCCCTGACTTACCACTGTTAGCTGCTAACATGTCAATCATTCGACCAGGTGTGCAAACAATAATTTCAGCACCTCTTTTCAGCTCAGCAATCTAATAAGAAAAGATGAAATTTTATAGTGTATTTATCACTAATGCTTCTTTACAAACTTGAAAATACTGACTGAGGTCCTTGCAGAGCTCCATAACATAAGACAGCCAGGTCTGATTAGAAGACACCAAAGCCTCCTGCTTAATTCTTTGGAATGCTGGAGCACTAATAAAGGAATAGGAAGCAGCAGAAAGACCACATGATGCTGTAACTTTGAAATCAATGAAAACCAGAGGTTTTTACCAATTTTAATTTGACACAACTCCTCAAAACCAAGAAAGGAATATGAGAGAGCAGTAAATAAAGAAATTTGATAGATCAATGTTTTTCAAATTGAGATTTGTTTCCATTAGTGAATCACAAAATCAGTAAGTCACAACCTGCATTTTAAAAATGAAATAGAATGGAAAACACTAGACTTTGTTAGACATTATAAAACTTTGTTTGACTTCTATATAAATATGCATGCATGTACCACCTTATTTTGTAACTGTATTTACTACAGGCTATGGCCAAAATAACTGACACAGATAAACTTAGAAAACTAAGTTCAAGCGTTTAAAATAGCATTGGGATAACAAAAGCAAATATTCCCAAGATGTGTCTAAAATCTGAGAAGTCCTGGTGGTTTGGGGGTTAAATATGTTCAGAAAACGCCACTTAATTTATCCCATTTTTTTCTAGCATCACAATATACATTAGCTTATTAACAACTAAGAAGTCTTGCAGAAAAGAAAATTTTAACTTTGCATAGTCCAACATTTCCAAAACTTATTTGACCACAGAACCCAGTATTTTTCCTTCTTCTAGTTAAAGCAAAATATCTGATGACTAGCATTCTTTAGAAGACATGTGGAGAAATGCCAATCTAAAGAGAGTGAATGAAGGTATGTTTAAATAATTCTCACTAAAATCATTTAAGAATGCAGATGAAACTCTGATATTAATACACCCCACTCAAAACCACCTTTTAAAGATGTCATTTAGATTAGAGAAAATAAATGTTGATCCAGGAACCATAAGACCTAGATTCTAGGACAAAGTCTTACTAAGCTAAAGACTTTGGTCAACTTAACCTTTCTGAACATCTGTAAAATGGAAAAAATAATCTGCTTCCTTGAGCAGGGAAAGACAAGCACGGGAAAGCTAAGATATGAAAATGACTCAAAAATTCTAAAATATAACTTTAACATAATTCATTCTTACTATTATTTTCACACCTCATTTTAAAGATTTTAGAAGCAATCAATACAGAAAACACTAAAGCAAAAAATCACTTTTACATTATTAAGTCATTCAATTTTTAAAAAGACTGGAAAAACTGAATGTTCCTTTTATAACTACCTGCTCACTGATTCCTGTTCCTCCATAAACACAGACCACTCTAAGGCCCAAGGTCTTCGAAAACTTCTTACATTCTTTAGTAATTTGTAAAGCCAGTTCTCGAGTTGGAGTCATGATGACAGCTGAAAAGATAAATGTCAAAAGCCTAACCACCAAAATTCTTGAGAGGCTAAGCTTTATAGTGTTAAATTTAACCTCTGCAATCAAGTTCAGATCTTAGTCTAAATTTTGTTTTAATTTGTTTTATGCACCTTTGAGAATCCTATTTCAAAAGTTTTGTAATAGCAGAGATTGTGGTGAAGGATAATTTTAAGAAGGTTTTAAGAACATGCTATAGGAAGATAAATGAGAGTTAAATACCTTACTCAACCATCAGGAAAATACTTGGTTGAAAAGAATGCAAATCATTCTCAACTGCAAATCACAGAGCAAAGATAATCAAGTGACTCACTGTGCTGAAGAGCCATGCCGTGGCTTCCGGAAACAACCTTGGTCTGAGGGACACAGACAGAGGAGAAATATACTGTGCCCTCTGTTGCCAAGAGAGGAGTTGAACAACTTTCCAAAACCCTACTCAAATTTGGAGAAGAGATCTCTGCCAAATGAATCAAGAAAACTGAATCTAAAGACCTAATCCTGAATGAAATGTTGGCACTACAGCCTTTTAAGGCCAAAAAAAGAAAGAAAAGAAAAATACACTTCCCTACAATCTTCTATGTTGAGTTTATAGATCCACTGATACGGGCTAAGAACAAACCTCAACATAAATAAACAGATAGATGCACGAGGAGTCTACCTGCCGAGTCAGAGTTTAAAAACTGAGCTGTGCCAGGAGAGGCTGTTTTTGTACTTCTGAGATGTCACTCCAGAGCTCTGAAGATTCTCACTCCACCTGCTGGTAAGGGGAAATCAGCCCCAAAGTGCCAAATTTATAAAGGAAATGTACATAAAGACATCTTTATTGTTATAATTAACATTACAAAGCATCAGGTCTTTCTGATTAACGGACAACGAAGTTGTTAACTGAAAAAATAGTTTAATGAAAGGAATTGTACCTATTGGCCCCTCTCCTTCTTCTAATGACCTCTGATCCATGATGTGTCTAAACATAGGCAACAGAAAGGCAATGGTCTTTCCACTTCCTGTCTTGGCAATACCAATCAAATCTCGTCCAGACATTATAGCAGGAATCGCCTGGGTTTGGATTGGCGTAGGCTTTTCATAACCATGCCTTAAAAAGCAAACCAAAGGAAGACAAGGTAAGAACTGTGATCTCTGGGTCCCTCAAACTGTAAAAGTTTTCCAAAATGTGTATCCATACAATGAAAAGGAATGAAGTACTGAGACATTCTACATCATGGATGATGTAGAAATATTTGAAAATACTATGCTAATTGAAAGAAGCCAGTCACAAAAGACTATATTAGTATGATCTTATTTATATGAAATGTCCAGAATAGAAAAATCTATAAAAATAGTAGATGAGAGGTTGCCTAATGTGGAGGAGAAAGGAGAAAACTGACTACTAATGGATCCAGGCCTCTTTCGGGGATAATGAAAATATTCTAAAATTAGATTACAGTAATGACTGCACAACTCCATAAATATACTAAAAATCATCAAATTGTAAACTTAAAGGGTAAATTTTATGGTATGTAAATTATATCTCAATAAAGCTGTTTAAGAAAAAATAATCAAGTTTTCCCATTAGAGTAAAAATGTAAGCAGAGGAATTACTTGCATAAAGGGCTATTTTTAGTAGCAAGATATTGAAAAATGTGGACAACTACTGAACACTTACTTTTTGAGAGAATTTAAGATCTTCATAGAAATCCCACACTGAACCCAAGATTTAATTGGTTTGGGGCAACCTTTTCCCTTGACAATAATGCCCTCCATTTCCAACCGAAATACATTCACTTCTACAAAACAAAATCCAGATTAAAAACTCTTAAATATTGTTCTAATAGTGCCTTCTACTTTTCAGTGAGGCATGGAAAGATTAAAAATTTTCAATTCTTTTCTAGTGCTCCTGAAGATAATTCCATAGAAAAGCTATGTGACAAAGCACTGAACAGCTCAGAGAGACAACTAAAGCGATTACTGTTGCAACCAATTAGGAACAAAAGAAACACTCCAATTTCTACAATTTGGCTTTTATTTTGACTTAAATTGTACCAGCAATAAAAGAACAATGATTGACAAGTAATACAACCACTTGTTCTTTAAGCAAGGGTTGCCCAGATTATCCTTATTCTATCAATATCACACAGATTCACATTGGTTCCTAACTCTCAAATATCAGAAAAGGTTAACAATATTTTATTTGCTAACTTCACATGAAGAGTATTTTTGATGCTAAAAATCTCAACTACATGAGCCAAACTAATTTTTCCTCATTTTTTTTAATGTTTCCAAAAACATACTAATTCCTCACTGCTCCAAATCTTTGCGGATGTTGTCCTACCCTCTAGAATGACTTCTCGCCTTCTAGTTCCCTCTCATTTCTCCAGGTAAGCCAGGCAAATTCCTCCTACTCATGCATCAACTCACAGGCCTATCAACATTCCTCCCAGGCAAGGTGAAGTGTACTCCCTCTGTTCCCACAATAACCAATAAATGAATAAAAAAATTCTACCCTCTTGAGACATTTTTGCCAGTTCTGGAACTTCAACATAAAAGTTTTTTCTGAATTGTTCATATTCAATTTTTCCATGATCCACTGGTTCTAGAAGCTTTCTCTGCTTTGTCTGATAACCTGTAAGGGCAGTCTGAAGATCAACTTCTTCCTCCTCTGAAGAATACTATAATTAAAAAAGAAAAATTAAGAGCTAAATCCATTACTACTTTCTCCTATGGGAAGAAATATTCCTAGTTTTAAAGATCCTCCTCTCCTACAAAATATTCTTTGGCTTTTACTTTACTTTCTGAATTTTCCAACTTAGTTTATTTTTTCTTTGCCCTTATAGAAAGCTATAATAACAATACAAAGCTAAAATAAAAAAATAATTTTAACACGGCTTTAATAAAGTTTTCCTATAGTTTTCTCTATATAAATCTTTACAATGAGTGCTAATAGGAAAAAAAAGTTAATTTATTCTGTCACTTCATTTCTTCTCTCCCTATTCTATGTCTGGGATGAGCTGATGAGGGACAAGCAGGAATCAAAAAGTGGGCATACACTTGTGCAGCAACACGGATGAACCTAGAGAATATCATACTATGTGAATTTAGTCAGACAGAGACAGACAAATATTATATGAGATCACTTATACGTGGAATCTAAAAAATAATACAAATGAATTTATTTGCAAAACAGAAACAGACGCAGAAAACAAACTTAGGGCTATCAAAGGGGAAAGGGGAAGGGGAGGGATAAATTAGGAGTATGGGATTAACAGACACAAACTGCTATACATAAAATAAACAACAAGGATTCACTGTATAGCACAGGGAACTATATGCAATATCATGTAACAACTGAAAATGGAAAAGAATCTAAAATATATATATATGTATATATGTATGTGTTTGTGTGTATGTGTATATATATGTATATATACGTACAGACAGATATATATATCTGAATCACTTTGCTGTATACCTGAAACTAACACTGCATTATAAATCAACTATACTTCAATTAAAAAAAAAAAAGTGGGCATACAGCAAGAGGTCAAAGATGTTAGAATGTTCTACCAATTTGAATATGCGGCTACAATACTGTTGAGAATAGCAAGAATTTCTCCTAAGAGTAACTGAAAAGCACACTTCCATCAATGCTTTCTTATAAATACTTCTAGGACAGTATCGCAAACAAAGTCAAAAATGAATGAAGGGGGATTCCCTGGTGGCGCAGTGGTTGAGAGCCCATCTGCCAATGCAGGGGACACAGGTTCGAGCTCTGGTCCGGGAGGATCACACATGCTGCGGAGCAACTAAGCCCATGTGCCACAACTACTGAGCCTGTGCTCCAGAGCCTGCATGCCACAACTCCTGAGGCCTGGGCGCCTAGAGCCCATGCTCTGCAGCAAGAGAAGCCACTGTAATGAGAGGCCCATGCACCGCAGCGGGGAGTAGCTCCCACTCACCACAACCGGAGAAGGCCCGCACACAGCAACGAAGACCCAACGCAGCCATAAATAAATAAATTTTTAAAAATTAATGAATAATTACCTCCATGGCATCCTGGTCATTCTCCATTAGCTCACCTTTCTTCTTATCAGAATCTACGACTGCTTTTTTGGTTGTGACAACAGTGACAACTTTTGTGACTGTTGGCCCAGACTTCTAAAAAAAGAATATAAAATGTAAAGTTGAAACACAAATTATACACCAAATGAAACACAATGATAACTGTCACAATTTATAATTTGAATTAACTTAGTTGTTAGTGACAACCTAATGAAAAAACAAAAAGTGGTCTGCTTTCTCCTTACTGACTTGCTTGAATTTAAAAATGTAGGTACTTCCCTGGTGGTCCAGTGGTTAAGAATCTGCCTTCCAATGCAGGGGATGTGGGTTTGATCCCTGGTCGGGGAACTAAGATCCCACATGCCACAACTACTGAGCCCGCACGCCACAACTAGAGAAGCCCACAATCCCGCAACTAGAGAAGCCCACATGCCGCAACGAAGATCCTGCATGCCGCAACTAAGACCCGATGCAACCAAATAAATATTTAAAAAAAAATTTTTTTTAATGTAATACAATTTCATTATATTTTGTAACACATTAATAATATAGGTAATGCAGTATATAATATATAATTTTATATAATATTATGTAATATAATTTATTTTAAAAATACTACTAAATGGTACTTTTCACTCATTCAACAAGCCAAATACTATTCTGGGACCTTAGGATAAATCAATAAACAAGACAGGTACGATAAAGATCACTGCTCTTGGGACGGTTTTAGAAGAAGGAATAAACACAACAAAAAATTAATTTATATAATTTTTCAAAAGGTAATAAATGCTTTTAAGAAAAAGAAAAACTAGAGTAAAGAGGATCAGGAGCATAAAAGATGGGAGTGCTGGAGAAGGACCTATTCAGGGCTTACTGAAGAGGACCTACTGAAGAGGACCTACTGAGAAGGCAACAAGTAAGAAAAAATACTAAACAAAGATGATGGTAGTTAACAGTGACTTCTAAAAGAACATTTGCAGTTAAAATTCACTAGTATCTCTGCTATTTAGAAAAGCACTGACACTTCTGAGATGGGGAAGGAAACAAAATCATTAACTTTATAAAGCCATGCATGTCAGCAGTAGGTCAATGCACCAATGAATTCAAGTTACCCAGTTAGGAATGTAAATCTTTAAAAATAGGAGAAAATTCCATACCTTTTCATTTCCCCCACCACCTTTCACACTTCTCATATTAAACTTTTTTACTTCCTCTTTCACTTCTTCCATGTAAGCATCTAATGGATCTAACTCCTCACCCTCCATTTCATTTCCTTCCTTTTCAGCCTCTGCAGGATCATCTTCATCATCTAAAATATCAGAGTACACTTTCTATGAATTTGTGTTTCAAAAGGAAATACTTCACAATGAGACCACACACCCCCCCCATTAAAGCCTTTTCTCTTACTACCCAAACACCTTCCTTACCAATTAACACAGGCACAACGCAGTTCAAATACTCACACTGGCAAGGTTTTAAATCCAGCAGGTATTAGTTTTGAATAATACTAATAAAAGAAATAAATTATAAATTATTAAACTGAAAGAGGAAGAAAGACTAATATGTCTAAAAAATGGATCTCCAGTATTGTTTTACAACTACACTAGCAGAAGCAGAACTAAAAACTCTGTCTGCTAAAATGGTATGTTTATTTCTTACAATTATGTTTCTTTAAATGACACAAAGAAAAAATAATAGCACATTCTTAAAGACAATCTAATGTTTTTTACATAACTAAGATATCATCACCACTTAAAGGTATAATCCATTTATCTATTTAGTTCAACTTTCACAGAAAATGAAAAATTCACAGGAATTTTCACAGAGAAAATGGAGCAAAATTCCCTTTTCCTATAATATCTCACACTCTTCCACTTTACTAAAATCTTAAACATCAATATCAGATGTGGAGGGGAAATGTTTCTCTTATAATTTATGAAAAAATCAGAGGGACTTGAAAACATGCCCTTAACTTACCCTCATTACTAACATTGGAAGTAAAAAATTAAAGAGCTATTTACTGACTATGCCCATAAGCACCTAACTCTCCACTCTAAGGTAAAATCAGTGATCCTTACCAAACACTACTATACAATTTTAAAATTTAATGTAAACATTAAAAGGGGCGTTTAAAAATCTCAAAATGAAACTAGTGATTCTACTTCTAGGTATATACCCAAAAGAACTGAAAGTTGGAACTCAATCAGATAGTTGCACACCAATTCTCATAGAAGCATTATTCACAATACCCAAAAGACGGAAACTTATATATGCAGCAACAGATGAATAGGTAAACAAAATGCAGTATATATGTACCATGTAATACTATCCAGCCTTAAAAAAGAAGGAAATTCTGAGACATGCTACAACATGGATGAAACTTGAAGACACTTTGCTAAGTGAAATAAGCCAGACACAAAAAAGACAAATATTGTATGATTCCACTTATATGAGGTACCTAAAATAGGCAATTCACAGAATCAGAAAGTGGATTTGAAGTTACCAGAAATGGGGGGGAGGGGGACAGGATGGAGAATTATTGTTGAATGAAGTACAGAGTTTTTGTTTAGTTCTGGAAATGGACAGTGGTGAAGGCTGCACAACACTGTGAATGTGCTTAATTGTCACTGAATTGTACACTTAAAAATGGTTAAAATAGTAAACATTATGTATGTTTTTCCACAATAAAAATGGCCTATTACTCATAATTCTAGAATATTCTACATGAATTGTTATATAGTCTATTAGTCTAACAAATCAATATACCATCATCATCTTCTAAACTCCACTTTTTCCCTTGTTTCATCTCTTCAATTTCCTTTTTCAGTTCCCCTATGTTTTCCATGGCCTTTTTACGTTGTTCTTCCCGCCATTTCTCTACCCTTTCTTTTCGCTTTCTCATTTCTTCTTCTAGCTTATTCTGGTCAAAGTTCTTGGGGGGGAAAAAAAAAGAGAAACAGAGAGAGGGAAATAAGGATCAACAATTTTACTCCAAGTGACATTCCAGATAACTTCTCCAAAGTATAAAAAATGGAAAAATAGATGTACACAAAACTCCTGAAAATAGATGTACACAAAACTCCTAAATTTAGACCAGATTTAGATCATACATCTTTTAAATATATTCAGGAATAAACTAGCAAAATGAAATCACAATAAAAAGCATCTTCAACTAAGAAAGCAGACACACTTCAAACACCATAAATTAATCTCATTTTAGTTACAAGCAATATGCACACATGAATTCAATTTCTCCCTCTAAGTGGAAACTAAATGAACTAGCAAAGTTCCCTAGTTATTAGTTATTCTCAACTTTAAATCCTCCAAACTCCTCCAAGACTGCCTCCATGAAAAGCAATTTTCTATTACAAATTACTGAGTAAATGAAAGCTATTTATCAACATGATTAAGAAGTTTTGATCTTTTAGCCTTTAGGTCTAGGTTTCCTAGGAACAGCCATTCTAAAGCCTGTATCAAGATTATTAATAATACTCTCAAAAGGAGAGAGCAAATCATTTGCACAATCATAATCAGGGACTTAAAGATTAAGCATTATAGAAATCAAAATTTTAGACACGCTACCTTACAGGTAGTTATGGAAATACACATGTATAAAAGTCAAAGAAAATATTAATAAATGATAATGATGATGGCATTTTGGGCACCTAGGATTACAGAGAATTATTTCTGACTTTCCAAGTATTTTATAATACAGTTATATTATGTTTGTATTTTTAAAATAAGTTTACTTCTTAAACAAACAAAAAGCTTTGATCCTGAATTTATATCCTTTATAATAATTCCATCCTCTCTGAAGATGAGCCCCAGAAAGCTCATGTGTTTTTCTCAAGATCACCCCACTCATTCAAGACTAGTAGAAACTAGATCAGAAACCAGACTCCCAGACTTCTTGTGTTATATCTTTTCTTAGATACACCGCTCAGAAAGCAGGTCCCTTAAAAAAAAAAAAACACTAAACAAATAGAACTCAAAAAAAAAAAGAAAAAAAAGTGAAGCTATAATATATTCTAAAATGGGCAAAAGATATGACTAGGCATTCTAAGAAAAGTGCAAATAGTAAATAAACTTAAAATATCTTATTTAATAGTTTACATTATGTTCACAGCATTTAAAAATATTTACTCATATTTAAAGATAAGTAACTCAAAATAACAAGAAACCAATTACACTGGCAAAAATTAAAATTTGAAATATCCATGTTAGCAAGAATGTGAAGAAACAGACATTTTCATATGTCTAAAATTGTAAAACTTATACAACTTTTTTGGAGAGCAATTTGATACTATTCATCAAAATGTTAAATGTATACAGCCAGCCCTCTGTGTCTGTGAGTCCACATCCTCAGAATTCAACAAACTGTGGATCAAAAGTATTCAGGAAAAAAAATTCCAGAAAGTTCCAAAAATCAAAACTTGAATTTGCCCCATGCTGGCAACTGTTCACATAGCATTTACATTATGTTTACAACTATTCACACAGCATTTATGTCATATTAGGTATCATAAGTAATCTAGAGATGACAATGTATGCAGGGAGGATATGTGTAAGTTATACTACATCATTTTATATAAGGGACTTGAACATCTGAAGATTTTGGTATCTGCAAGAGTCCTATAGCCAATGCCCCTAGGATACTGAGGGAAAGCTATATATATATACCCATTGACAAAGTCATTTATTTTACTGATACCAATTTACCCTATACTATATTCACAAAACACATGTGTACAAGGATTAATATATCATTGTTTATAACTACAGACTGGAGACAGCCTAAATATCCATCTACTTTTTTTCAACAAAACACTATGCAGGCATTACAAACAACAAGCTCTACCTCTGTATGCAGCTACAGAAAGATATCCAATATTTAACAAACGAAAACAGAAAGGCATTCTACTTCTTAAGTTAGATAGTTCGTATACTGCTATTTATTACTCTTAAGACCTTACATATTGATAAAATAATTCATAATTTAAAAGTGACAAAAAGCAAGGCACAGAATGGTGCATATAGTATGATCACATTTTGCACATAAAATTAGATAATTTGTATAGATATGCAACTTTTTTCTGAAAAATTTTCTCATGGGACAACTATTATTTTACCTGTTTATTTTACAAATCTATTATCATTTACTTAAAAATAAAACACACAACATTAAAAAATAAGAATTTGTCACTACAGAAACAAATTTGATATTATACGATTACTTATGTTAGTAAACATACACCGGCATCCTTTTCTTTTTCATCCTCTTTGTCATCTTTGTCTTTTTTCTTCTCTTTAGAACTTTCCCCACTATCTGTTTTCTCTTTGGACCTAGACCTACCAAAAAAGAGAGAGACAGAAAGGGACATCATCTATTTGTTTTTGGAAACATTAATTTTAGAATACTTAGACTTGTATTTTACTTTTTATGTAAGAAATAAACTTCCAAGAGTCAACTGAATTTTTATATACCATTAATAAACACTTTGGAAATAAAATGAAGAATTAATCCCATGAAACTAACTGCAAATATTATTAGATATCTGGAAATTGACCAAAGGAAAACTGGACACAGCATATAAAAATAATTACAAAATTTAAATAACAAAATTAAAATTTAACAAATGGAGAAATACACGAAGACATTAATAGTCTACAAGACAACTGATATATGTAATAATATTTAAAATCCCAACAGGCGGGGCTTCCCTGGTGGCGCAGTGGTTGAGAGTCCGCCTGCTGATGCAGGGGACACAGGTTCGTGCCCCGATCCAGGAAGATCCCACATGCCGTGCAGCGGCTGGGCCCGTGAGCCATGGCCGCTGAGCCTGCGCGTCCAGAGCCTGTGCTCCGCAACGGGAGAGGCCACAGCAGTGAGAGGCCTGCATACCGCAAAAAAAAAAAAAAAAAAATCCCAATAGGCTTGCATTTTGACCCTACTTAGGGCATCTAATAATGAATAAAATCCCTTAATTGTAATGTAATCAAATTAGTTGACCTTTTTCCCTCCTTTATGATTGGTGCTTTTTAAAGCATCTTAGAAATTTTTCCAACTTTGATGAAGATACTCTAGAGGTAAAGAAGATATTCTCTAGTACAAACTCCTAAAAAGTTTATAGCTTTGCCATCTAATTTGGTTTTTAATCTGTTTGGAAATGCTTTTTGCGCACAGAATGAGGTAGCCAGTCCTATTTTATTAAAGGATAGCAAATGTCCCTAACACCATTTATTGGAAAATCTTTGTCCTACTATTTACAATGTCACCACTGTCATTTATCAAATGACCTTATATGCATGGATCTGATTCTGAGTTCTTTATATGGTTCCAGTGATCTACGTGTCTATCCTTACAATAAAGCAACACTCTTAATTTCTATAACTTTATGACAAGTCTTGATACCTGGTAGTGCAAGCTCTCATAACTTGTTCTTCAAAAGTGTTATGCCCTTTGCAATCAGCTTATCAAATACTTTTCTATTCATGTCTGCTAAGAACTTTTAAACATCAATGTATGTTGAAGTTAGTAAGATGCTTGTCCTGAATCTACTTAGATAACCAAGACTTTTCTCCTTGAATCTTATTAATGTAGAGGATCATACTGATTGATTTTCCAATGTTAAACCAACCTTCCATTCCTGGAATAAATCCAACTAGTTTATGATTGTATTATCTTTTTTATATATTGTTAAAAGCAGCATGCTAATCCTTTATGTTTAGACTGAGTATAGCCTATAATCTTTTTTCACACTGCCCTTGTCAGGTTTTCCTCAATCATCTTATTAATTTTCTTCATTTTATGAATGTTTCTTCTTTCTTAAGTCTTTGTTCCTCAAAAGTATCATTACAGAGTAAAAAGACAAACCAGAGTAATATATCTGCCCCTCACATAAATGACAAAAAACAACTATCCAGAATATTTAAAAACAAAACCCCCCTATAAATCAAGTTTTAACGACAGAAACAACCCAATAGGAAAATGAGCAAAACATTTAAACATGTACTTTAGAAAAGAGGAAATCTGAATGACCAAGAAACATATGAAAAAGTGTTCAACTTCATTAGTAATCAAGGAAATGCAAATTAAAACCATAATGATATTGCTATTACATGTCTAACAAATAAACAAAAATCAAAAGGACTGACAATACCTAATACTGGCAAGGGTATGGAGGGATACAATTCTCATATACTGCTGGAAGTATAATTAGTACAAACTCCTTGGAAAGCATTTCGGATTACTTAGTTAAAATGAAGCTATGTTTATTCTATGACCATGTAACTTCACTCCTATATATATACACCCAAGGGAAACTCATACACATGTATACTAGGATATATATACAAAAATGTTCATAATAGCCCCAAAGTTAAAACAACCCAAACATCCATCTCAGTAGAATGGATAAATAAATAGTGGTATATTTATACCACAGAATAGTGTTCAGCAATAAAAATAAACTACTGTTATGAGCAACACAGATAACTCTCGATGTTGAGCAAAAACGCAAAAGACAAGACTCATTCATGTAAAGTTAAAAAACATATAAATCTAGACTATTCTTTTTCCAGTTATACACACAGGTGGTAAAACTATAAGGAAACAATTAGGACACAAATTACTAGCACAAAAGTCAGGAGTGTTTTTTTTGTGTGTGTACGCGGGCCTCTCACTGCTGTGGCCTCTCCTGTTGCGGAGCACAGGCTCTGGATGCACAGGCTCAGCGGCCATGGCTCACGGGCCCAGCCACTCCACGGCATGTGGGATCCTCCCGGACCGGGGCACGAACCCGTGTCCCCTGCATTGGCAGGCGGACTCTCAACCACTGTGCCACCAGGGAAGTCCCCAGGAGTGTTTTTATATAGGGAAGGAGGGAGCTGGGTTAGGGAAGGGACATGGAGGGCTTCCGGGGGTACAGAAAATGTTCTATTTCTTGACTTTGGTGGCAGTTACATGGATCTTGCTTTATAATTATTTAATAAACTGCATGTTTATATTTCACTCATTTCTCTGAATTTATATTTTAAAATTTAAAATAATCCCAATGGGCATTATTACACTGACCTTGACAAAATAAAAGTAAAATTTATAAAGTAAAATAAATGACATGGAAAAAATCCTCATTAACTAATATGGAGAAAACAGAGAAAACAGAACAAATCCATACATCCCATGACACCACTTTAGAAACAATAATGGCAAAGAACAAACCACTAACAAGAGAAACAAAAAGAGTAAATGTATTATGTCTAATAGACATAAATAATATCTCAAAATTGAATGGTACTGACATCTTAAGGAAACAGGTACATTTAACTTACAAAAGCAAAGTTCACCCATTATGAATAGCAAATCAGCAATACACACCATGAGTAAAAAAGTTATTTGTCAATCAACATCGGAAATGCCAAGAAAATAATTTCAAAGGAAAATACATAGTTCCCACAAAGATGTATATAAAATGCATTTCTGACCATTAATAGCAGATATTCAATAAAAGAACAATGCATTATGAGTGTTAAAACTAATAGAATCTAGCATTTTCTAAAAGCATTACAAGCTTTATAACCTATTGAAATAATTCAGCTAACAGCTCACGGCAGCAGCCAAATTCAGTATTTATAAAGATTTTTTTTAAAAACTGTAGGGAAAAGAGACAGTTCCCAACCTACCTATTCTCAGCTTTCTTGCTTTTATTGCCAGGACTGGAGGATCGGGATCTCCGGCCCCGGCTTCTACTCCTCGAACGTCTCCTGTCTCGACTTCGAGATCTTCTTCGCTCTCGACTTCGATCTCTCTCTCTACTTCTGGAACGCCTGAAAGGGGACATTTCATTTATTCTATGACCAAGTGGAACGTCTACTTCAGACCATAGTTCTGCCTCATGTTGAAAGAAGCTTCTTAATTACTACCATTATTAAAGACAGTTAACTATCACATCAGCTAAACAGGGAACAAGTAAAGCCAGTCCTTACAAGTGGTCAATGAAATAAATGATACTAATTTCAAAGCGATGTTTGTTGAAAAACAGAGGAAATATGTAACAAGAGCTGTTTGAAATTTATGACCTATAGCAGAAAATCTAAATTTCAAAGACAGCTGAAACCTAAGTATAAGGATGGGCAGAATGGGGCTGTGGAAAGATCACAGATATGAAAATTAGGAGACAAGAATTTCTACCCTGGTACTACTAATTAGTGACATACATAGGGCAGATCAACTCTCTGGGTCTCAGTTTCCTCATCTGTAAAATATGGAGACTTCCCCAAATAATCTCAAAATCCTTCTTGCTCTAAAATCTTGTGATTCTTTCACACCAAAAAGTCAAAGACCAAATCTTTAACGACCAATTTCACTTAACAAGTACTTGACTGAATTGTATGAAACTGTTCCTGGTACCACATAATATAAAATTGAATAAGTTAGTGTTATCCACATTGTTACGAGTGAATATTTTCCCGAAGTACCAGGTGACACTTTTGCAATCTCTCCTTCCAATGTCTGAAAAAGATAAAGTCAAAGTTTTTTCTGTGATCAGTTCACAGCACCTGTATAACCTTGTCTTCTTTCCCATTTTAATGAGAAACTTTATGAGAAATCTTTTTTTGGTGTGGGGAAGATTATTTTTATTTAGAGACTGTTTTCTACCTCCAGAAGTTATGGCTGCTTGGGTGGTACCATGGAATATTTAATCAAGTTTAAAAAAATTAGGATGTTCTTTGGTTAAATCTAAAAAAGTTCTTTAAAATAGTTTCAAACAGAGTATGGAGATGGCTCTGCCCTGTTTCCTTCTCCTGTCAGCTCTAGCAGTTGCTCTGAAGACAGGGGTCAGCTTTCTTGGGACAGGATTAGACTAGAACCCCCCTGATGGCATATTACATTAGCTTTTACTTCACTGTTTGAAAATGACAGTGGAAAGGGGAAAAAAAATACTGTTTGAAAGTTCTTGTTCTAGGCAAATCACTTCTGTACCTCATCAAACAAGCTGGGGTAAAAGCAGAGGGCCTGCAAAGGGGCCACTAAATTCTAGTCCAAAATTTTTGAAGAAGCCTGATTTAGCTGAGAAGGTCCAATTTATCAAGAGTCCTGTGGAGATTAATGTCTTACCTCAGACGCTTCCTGTCTCTTGACCGAGATCTTCTTTTATCCCTGCTACGAGACCTCTCTCTCCTTCTATCTCTATCCCTGCTTCTAGACCTTCTGTCATCTCCACGTTTACTTCTTTTGTCTGAGGGTGAGCGACTTCTAGATCGACTTCCAGAGCGTCCCCGTGATGCTGATCGCTTCCGATAGTGGCTAGATTATTAAGTTAAAGATTAAGCTTAGCAAACACAGCTTCTATCACATTTTATTTATTTTATTATTTTCTAAAAAGAATCTCAGCAGATAAATTAAACATTGAAAGGACTTCTTATACGTAAACTTTTTTAAAAGTAGGGGGAAAGAATGAACTCTTCTGCTACAGCATACTGTCCTGAAAAAGAAGGAAGGACAGTAAGCCAAAGAGACCAAGTTCCTGCCTTTGGGCCTCAAGCAGCTTGCATTCTGGTAAAGGAAGAGAGGACAGGCAAGTAAAGAAATAAGTATACAATATGTATTTGGTGGTACGGAGAAAAACCGATGAAAGTAAAGGAAAAAGAGAGACAGTGGGAGGTAGGAAGTTTGCTCCTTTACAACAGGTGATTAGAGAAGACCTCACTAATAAAGTGCCATTTCAGAGGTTTGAAGGAAGTAAAGGAAGGAACCATGGAGATATGTGAGGGAGAAACTTTCCAGGCAAAAGGCACAGTAAGTGCAAAGACCCTGAAGAGGAACCTTGATTGGTGTGTTTAAGGAACAGCAAGGAACCAGATGTGGTTGGAGTTGAATGAGTGAGAGAAAGTGTCATGAGATGAGGTCAGAGGTACAGCATGGTAGCCAAATGTGGAGAGCCTTATAGGCCATTATAAGGACTTCCTCTTTTACTTTGAGAAAAGATGAGAAACTATTGGAAGATTTTAAGCAGAGGCGTGACATAACCTCCCTACTATTTTTAAAGCATTACTCTGGCTGCTGAGGGGAGAACAAACCAAAGAAAGGCAAGGACAGAAGCAGGGAAAACACGCAGAATGCTACAGCAATCGCCCAAGTAAGAGACAGCGTTGACTTGGATCAGAATGTCTCGTGTAGAACTGTTGAGAAGTGTCAAACTCTGGATATTTTAATGACTAATTAAATGTCAAGTGCAACAGCAAATCTAGTACACAAGCAAGGCAAGGCAGAGAAGTGGGGGAGAAGGCCGAAGAGATAGAAAGGACCTTCTTGGGAAGGGCCCTGAAGGCTGTGCTGAAGAGTCTCACTTCATCTTGGAAGCAGTAAGAACCAACAGACATGAAAGCAAGGAAATGACATAATCTTATGTTAATATCAGAAGTGTCACTCTGGCTGCAGTGTGGAATCAACTGGGAGCGCAAGATCAGAGGAAGGTAACTTGAGGCAGGTGTAGCAGTCTGAGTAATAAATGATTAGGGCCTGAATTAAGTCAGGGAGAGCAGGAATGGTGACTGGGTGCAGTATCTAACTAGATGTAGGCAGCAAGAGAGAAGAATCAGTCAAATAAATATCACTTCCAGGTTTCTGGTCTGGGTGGCCAGATGAACAGCAATGCTTTCACAGAGATTTAAAAGACCTTTACACGAATTTTCTGTAGTTATGGAAATACTCTTTATCCAGGTGATGGTTACACGGTTCATATATGAGCTAAATTTCACCAGCTCTACCCTTAAGCGTTGACCATTTCCCTGAATATTAATTATATCTCAGTAAACTACTATTACCTTACTTACTTATTATTTATATCCTAGATATAAATGATCTTTCAGTCACAGCTAAACATTAAGCAAATACGCACATTTAAGATAAAAATCTCAAGGTCCCAAACCAGGTAACAATCTGAAATGTTGAAGAGATATCAGAGTTCTAATAAAACCTCCCAGTTCTCAGTTTAAAAAGGATAAAAAACACATAACAAAGAAATTTTAAATCTATGTGCGAAATAAATGCCCATGCAACAAGCATTTACTGTAGTCCAAAACAAACCTAGTCACGTAGTATTGTAGGCGATGTAAAAATGGCCACACGCTCCTTTCAATTAAGAAAATACCACACGCGCACAAAAAACTAAAGTAGAGAGCGACAGGGGCCAAAGAAATGTTGCAAACGCGAAGTGGTGAGAAATTCAACTGAGGTCGCTACTGACTAAGGCGATACGGGTAAGCTCCGCGGAAATGGCGGGATGTAGTTGACGTCCCGGAGGTGTGTTCCCGCTCCAAGGGCTCGAACCGGCCGATGGCCGTGTAAGGGAACCCTGTGCCCGCTGCCGACCCAAGCACACCCACTGCCTCAGCCGAGGTCCCCCAGCCCCTCTAGTAGCCGCGGGCAGCGCTGGCCGCACGTGGGGTCGCACCGGGCCAGGCCCGGCCCCGCGGCCACCTCGATCCCGCCTGAGGAAGACACTCGCCCGCTCGCCCGCCCAGCGCGCCGTCTCACCGTGACTCCCGGCCCATGCCGCAGGCCGCGGGAAAGCGGCGCCCTTCGGGATCACGCGCAGGAGAACCGGACAAAGTAGGAGGCCGCACAACCCTCAGCACGCCGGGCGAGGAACAGCACTAACAAGCTGCAGCGGCCACAGCGGTATCCACCATCCGAACGCGGGCAACGAAAACAGGACGTGGTGGCGCCAGCGGCAGGAGGAAGGAAAAAGCGGGCCGGAAGCGGCTATCGTTCCACAGCGCCCCCTCTCGGCTGGAGGCCGCACAGTGCCGGCTGCGCCTAAAGAGGTTGCCTCGGCCGGGTTTTCCCTGCACAGCCGCGGAAGCCCCCGCGCCTTGGTGCGGTAGAGGGTGGTGCCTCAGCCGCCATGCAAGCCCTGGGAGGGTCTTTCCTACAGGGGGCACTGAAACGCCATAAGCAACCCCGAGCTGCCCCCGGAAGTGTACTGACATCTAAGCGATGCTACAAACATCTCCATTCACTCTCATCATTTCTACGTGCATTCATTTAAACACATTGTTACGTGTCAGGCATGTTCTACCTTCCAACGAGCTTTCAATCGCGTGGCAGACATAGGCATTAACAAAAACACAAGCAGATGTAATATAACAGAAAAGAGATTCTACCATAGGAAAGGGGTTCAGAAAGAGTTCCCTAAGGAAGTGACCTTTGAGGTATGATTTGAAGACTGAATAGGAGTTAACTTGGTGAAGAGGACGAAGAGCTAAAAATACGTTACACAAGATTATGGTTCTCAACATTGCCTGCGCTTGGGAGCTTAAAAATACATATACGGATGCGTGTGTTCCATTCTGATACTCTAATCTGATTGGTCTGGAGTGCTTCCAGTGCACTGGGAATTTTAAAGCTTCCCAGGTGATTCTGAAGTACAGTCTGGTCAAGGCGAAGAACAACTTGCCTAGTGGAACTTACGCTGCAATGTTTTAGCAGAAAGCTGTAAAGGCGTTGGGGACAGGCTCTCACTTACTTTACGTGCTTCTGTACTATTTTATGTTCTTACACATACAGATGATAGAAAAGTTCCATATTTTGACTGTGGCAGTCATTGCATGGATGTTTGTCAAGATTCATTGAACTGTACGCTTTATTTTTATTTTATTGTTATTTTTTTTGGCCGTGCCCCACAGCCTGCGGGATCTTAGTTCCCCAACCCGGGGCCCCTGCAGTGGAAGCGTGGAGTCCTAACCACTGGACGGCCAGTGAGTTCCCTGAACTGTATGCTTTAAATTGGTGTGTTTTATTGTATGTAAACCTTACCTCGATAAATTTGAATTTTTAAAAAATGAAACCAACGAGTTTAAGACTCTAAGACTGGCTTCTGCTCTTCCTCTGTGATTTATTGCCCACCTGTGGCTGCAGGGCAGACCATGCCGAGTAAGGAAGGCCTGAGCCAATATATGACAGAATGGACACCAGTGAGGGTCAGGTATGAGAGCCATTGTAAATTGCTTAGGTAAGGAGTGTGGAGACACTGACAAGTGGTCAGATTCTGGATGTATTCCACAGGCAGCTTTCCAAACACTAATTGATAAAATGGATGTGAAATGCAAGGGTAAGGGAGGAATAAAGATGACTCCCAGGTTTTGATCCGAGCTACTCTGGATTGTGGTGAATTTGTGGAGATGAAAAAGGCCTGGGTGCAGCAGATTTGGTGGGAAAAGGAGAGAAAATCAGTGTTTCTGCCTACTAGATATCCAGAAGGAGATAATGGCTGAAAGGAAATATATGAATCTGGAGTTCAAAGGAGAAATAGAGATTGGAGAGATAAGGGTCATAAGCACTTTATAGAATGTATAATACAGATCTTCCTCAACTTAGGATGGGATTACATCCTGATAAACCCATCTTAAGTTTAAAATACTGCAAGCGGAAAATGCATTTTAATATGCCTAACCTATCCGTCATAACTTAGCCTAAAAAAATAAATAAATAAAATAAAATAAAAAATAACTTAGCCTAGCCTACCTTAAACATGTCAGAACACACACATTAGCCTGCAGTTGGGCAGAATCATCTAACACAAAGCCTATTTTATAATAAAATGTTGACTATCTCATGTAATTTATTGAATACTATACTGAAAGTGAAAAGCAGAACAGTTTTAAGTGGATCATCATGGACTGGGATCTGCAGCTCTCTGCCACTGCCCAGCGTCACTAGAGAGTATCATACTGCAGATGGCTAGCCCAGGAAGAGATCAAAATTCGAAATTCAAAGCACGGTTTCTAACGAATGTGTCACTTTGACACCACCATAAAGTCAAAAAATTGTAAGTCAAACCACCCTAACTCAGGGACTTTCTGTATACAGTATTTGAAGCCAAGGAACTGGATGAGGCCATGCAAAAATTGATATAGCTGGAACAGATTTTTTAAATCACTTACTCAAATGTCTTGATTTTAAGGGAGAATACTGAGACATGGGAAACAAATTTAATCCCAGATCACTAATCTTCTTGGAATCTAAACTGGAACCAGAACCCAGGCATCTGATACCCAGGCCAGAGCTCTTTCCAAGATACTTCATTTCTAACTCCCTTTTTTTAAAAATAGTTTTATTTTCTTTTTTAATATTCATTTATTTAGTGGCTGCCCCAGGTCTTTAGTTGCAGCATGCAGGATCTTCAGTTGTAGCATGCATGCAGGATCTAGTTCCCTGACCAGGGATCGAACCCCAGCCCCCCACACGGAGAGTGCAGAATCTTAAACACTGGACCACCAGGAAAGTACCTCTAACTCCCTTTTAAGAGAACATATTCACGTGACAATTCTAACTGGCTTTTTGTGCCCACAGCATATTTACGGTAAGTTCACAGCATTTCTATGTCCTTGAAGAAACTACTTTTATCTATTAGCAGAGGTGAAAGAAGTAATTATAGTCTACTATGTCTCCAATACATCACTTATTTAGCAAACTGCCCTGGCTTCCAAAGCAGATTTTGATTCTAACTAACCTAGTTCTGAATCTCATAACCCTCTTGCTGTTTTTACACCAACTGTGTGTACACACATCCGTTTATACAGCTAATAAGACTAAAAATCTATGGCCAAAGATGTCACCTCTCGACGACCATCCTTTG